TAAGAATAATTTTACTTGTATACTATTGTATACTAAAATTCGTTAGAGAATAGATTCAAATAGCAAACAGAAAAGTGTAGAAATTTTTGTTATTGTATTATGTACGAAATATAGTTTAGCACAAAAGCGAAATAACAAGTAACGTTGTGTAATAAAACATAAAAAGCCCCGGTAATTATATACTTCATGACATGATTTGGTATGACAAAATATAATAAAGATTAGTTACTTTAATGTCACTTTAGGAGGTGAATTCTATTGTTAATTCTGTTTAATTTAACAACAAGTGAATTTGAGATAGTATTTTTTGTATTTCATTACAGATATGTCATATTGTTTTTAAAAAATAATGGCTCATATTAAGGCACATGATATATATAAAAAACCTCGTACAAAAGACATTAAAACACAAGAAGATGTTACATTTTTTCAAATGGGTTTTTGTCAAAAAATCTTAGATGGATTATCCAATTGTGGTTTTAGAAAACCATCACCAATACAGCTAAAGGCTATTCCACTAGGAAGATGTGGATTTGGTATATTAAATTTCAAATCTATTTGATATTTAACATATCTCTAACAGTCTAAATTTATGACTACACTTGATTATAGATTTAATAATGCGTGCAAAGTCAGGAACTGGAAAGACTTTAGTTTTTAGTGTAATTGCGCTTGATATGATCGATATACAAGTATCATCTGTTCAAGTATTAATATTAGCACATACAAGAGAAATTGCTATACAAATTTCACAAGTTTGTTCATCTATAGGTTGTGAAATAAAAGGTAATTTCTTGGAAAAATTTATTAAAATACTTTTGTTTCGTAAATAGTCACATCCATGTTATAAATAAAATTATTTTATTATTTTAGGATTAAATGTTGAAGTATTTATTGGTGGAATGGCTATAGATGATGATAAAAAGAAAGTAAATAGTTGTCATATAGCTGTTGGCGCTCCAGGCAGAATTAGGCATTTAATTGACAAAGGATTTTTAAAAGTTGAAAATGTTAGATTATTTGTACTTGATGAAGCAGACAAATTAATGGAAACTAGTTTTCAGAAAGATATTAAGTTTGTATAATATGTATAGACACAAATGAGTAAATATATAGGATTATTACTAATTATATTCAAATTTTCAGTTATATCTTTTCAAAATTGCCATTAAATAAACAAGTTATAGCATCAAGTGCAACTTATCCAGGGGACTTGGAAACATTTTTATCAACATATATGTGTTCACCAGTTCTAGCATCTACAGATGACGATGGACCACTACTTGTTGGACTTCGACAGTTTGTAGTGGTTACTCCTTCTCATCCAAATGCCATGAAACAGGTATAATTTAACTTGTGTTTTATTCAAATCTACTTGTTTAAATATATTTCAATGCATGCTTTTCATACATACTTTATATTTCAGGTCCAAATAAAAGTAGATGAATTGATTAAAATATTTAATAAAATTCCATTCAAACAATGTATGGTTTTTTCAAATTATCAATCAAGGTATATATATTTTTTCATTGTTTGTTTATATATATTAATTTAACTAAATTTCTCTTCAATTACAGGGCACAATCAGTGTGTAATAAAATTAATTCTATGGGTTTCAAAGCTACTTACATTGCTGGAAATCAAGATATGGCAAAAAGACTTGATGCAATTAATAAATTAAAAACCTTTAAATGTAGAATAATGCTAACAACTGATTTAACTGCAAGAGGTATAGATGTAGACAATTTGAATTTAGTTGTTAACCTTGATTTGCCAATAGATGAAGCAACATATTTACATAGAATAGGAAGAGCTGGACGTTATGGATCTCATGGTATCTCTGTTACAATAATTGCAGAGAATGAACTTGAAATATTTAAACAATTATTAGCTTCTGTTGGGGGACCACATTTTTACATTTTAAAACTTCCATTAAATTATCCAGATGACATTTGGACTACTCCCAGTACAAAGTTTGAAAAATTGTATGTAAAATTTAATACTTCTAATGAAAACCAATTTGAAGTTGGTAATGTTATTGAAGCTGTGAATGATTCAGTTGTAACAATTGAGGACATAGAATTAACGAATAATGTAAATTCAGAAAGTTCTATGGTATCGGGTAATGTAAATAAGGAGGTTAGGAGTGATATAGAAGTCTCTAAAGTAGAAATAACAAAAAATACCAGAATTAAAAATGTAGATAATTTCTGTAAAGATTTTCCAAGCTTAAAAAACTCGTTTAATTTACGTAATAAAAGAAAAGTTAGCTCTATATTTTTGCGAAACATTAATGGAACTGACAAATCTCAATGTACTAAAGCAAGTAAAACAGAAGCAACAGTTACAAAGATATATAGTTCGTCTAAAGCAAAGGTTATACATACATTTAAATTAAATTGTTCATCAAATAATCTTTCAAAGTGGGAAGACGCTAATCAAAATATTAAGTTCGAGGTTGATTTATCGGACATTCAAGATAATTTGTCCGATTCTAACCTTCAAAATGCTATAGAATATTTAAAATATAATCCCTGTAAGAAAAATTCGGAAGAAGTCTCTGGATGTTGTAACTCTGTAAATATTAATTCTGCAAATACGGTTATTAGTAGTATTGTGTCTGATAGAATAGAGAGGTTAACTGAATCAACTGAACAAATAATAACCGCTGAGACTGAAATAGTTTCAGATGAAATACACGACTCTACAAATGTTTTGGAGGAATTAAACTGCCGTCTTTTAGAATACATGACAGGTTTTCGTAAACTTGACAGTGTACATTTCGATGAAAAGGAAATTTTACAACAAGCAGCCATTTGGAAAGAAAAACTTAATTTCGAAATTAGAATATTAGATTCCTTAATGCGATCTATGAAAGAATCCGTTCAAAGATTAATATATCATAAACATTGTCAAATGTTTCAAACATTCTATAATATACAAAAACAAGCTGTCTTGTGCATTTATCCGGAAATACGAAATGATGATGAAATAAATGACACCTATCTGTATTCTGGATGTGCAGTTAATGAAAATTTATTAGAACTATACAAAGAAATTGAAGAGTTTAAGTCGTTACATAGAATATCTGGAAAAAAATTTGATGCATACTTCCCATATCCTATTAAAGAAGATTCATATATGCCTGGACTTATGATATCAAGATGTGACATAGAAATTTATCGCTATGCATTGCGATATTTCAGGTCAAATCCTCATCCTACAGAGATGTTTCTGCAACTAATAAATTTTGTAGCGTTTATTAGTGAAAATAATAAGTTTAATTTGATTGATAAGTTAAAAGATCAAAGCAACAAGTCATTTGACGAATTGTTATCAATAATACAAGATGAAGTAGTACACAATCAGATGGATCAAGATAAATGCATGGTGCACGAAATTGATTCATCAAAAGATATAAACAATACTATTGAAGATAAAAATGTGATTAATTTAAGAGATAGTATTTTCCATAACCAATCTGCTGATGCTCAAAGCATGAAATATACTAATGAAAAAAGAGATGTATCTACAGATGAAGATAATATGGAGGAAATAAATAATAAATACAGTTTCAATAATTCTACTACTACTTCCACTACTTTAGTGCCAATAAAATCTGCTCAGAAGGATTTTGCTAATACTCAAGACTTTGTATGTCATGAAAATCATACTTTACAAAGTAACACATTAGACACTTTGTCAAGTAAAGGTGACGATTTGGAGAATATTATGCATAATAGCAAAGTACATACAAAAAGTAAATGTTATAGACAGAAAAAGAATCAGCGACAGAAAAATACTACGTTTATCAAAGAGAAAAGAAGAAGTTCGTATAAATATAAAACGGTTCATACGAATAACATACCTCACGATCGAGATAATACATTTCATAATATTACTGATACATTTAAAAAGCAATATAAATTCGAAACTCAGCCATATGTGTCATTGCCTACAAGTGATTACTTCGACAGATGTACATTAGAAACAAAGTTAAATTGGCATATAAATAATACACAACAAAGTAATTCTCAAAATTCATGTATTAGTAATGATTCTTGTTCTGAATCTCACATGGATAAGATGTACTTTTCGTGTAAATCTATGTCTGACAAATCTGGAGTATCAACAAAAAGTATATCACAAAGGCATCCAGACAATAAAGTGGCGTATGTACAACAATATGAACAACGAAGACAGTTTATACATACATATCCTACCACTGTTTGTAATAGTGCACATAATGCATATTTTCCTAATAGTTACTCGAATTCTAATTCTCAAAAAGAGGAAAATAATTTTTATCATTCATCAAATAAAAACATCACTGAATACGAAGAACAAATTGAACAATTTTTATCTTCATTAAGAGTTGAAACTGATCAGTTGCATTTAGAATTATACAAATTGCAAATGCTTCATGATTGAATCCTTGTACAGAAAAAAAATGTATTTAAAACAAATCAGTTCTCTAAGGCTACTTTATATACAGTATATAGTTATTTTGTAATAAAAATTTGTTATGCAAAGTAATACATCGGACCATATTTAATTTTTCTATACAAAAGAAAATTCTTTAAATTTATGACAATACAATTTATCATAAGTGTTATATTTTATATAAGGAATACAACTGACCTTGTTACATAATAAAAGCGATCATTTTTAAGCGATTATATTTATATTTAACTATCTAATGTTTTCTAGTTATTGCTAAATCAAGGGAGATAGCATTCTCGTAAGCATAGTATTGATAAATCTTAAAAGCTTAGAATAAATGTCGCGTAAGTTTGTAAGAAATGTCGTAACTATGACGCATCTTACATAAATAATTACGCAATAATTTGTATACTAACTTCTTAGACAATTTCAACAATGTGCATTTTATAATTTTATATTTGAAAAGATTGAACATATGAGCTTCAAGTTCATTTTACGGAACCTTAGTTACAGAAAGCATTACAGAGTCTGAGAATCTGAGATTAGGTGTGATAAGTATATAATAATTTGTATTATTTACAAAATAAGTATCTCAATTCTTGACATATGTTTATTTGTTATTTCTACTGATTATGTTCTGAGATCTCTGATTTATCAACTGCGTGTAAAAATGAATATTTAAGAACCCTAACTCTGATAAACATATTTTACTGATGCTTTAATTTAATAATCTCGTCCCTACTGTTTTATAATTAATAAATGTAATAACATCAGCCGTATTGTTAAAAAATTAGGATATTCATATTACATAAATTGCTCGATCACGTCATATCAACCTAAACCATTGAATCTTTAATCTAACCTAATTAATGTAATTCAGATTAATGTCCTATGAGATAAGTGATCTGTATTATAATAGATACATAATGTAGGTTAGGACAGAGCTAATAAAGTTGTCCTAAGTGATCCATCGGTTTTGTAGCTACATGAAAGAATAAGTGATTGGAAATCGAGTGTAAACATCTATCGAAGTTAGTAAGGTTACTAAACGTAAACAAGTTTCTCCCTTGCTGTTACATGAACAAAAGAAAATAATCTCGGGAATTTCGTACAACAAGGATAATAATATATATCTACATATATCATAAATATCGATACTTTTCACTTTCCAATTTCTATTTCCGTTCAAAAGGCCCGGGCATGATATTGAGAAGTGACAACCAATCACGTGTAACGTTACTTTGGAAATCCTCAAATTTCATTGGCCGAGCACCCACAATCCACTACGGAGAGGCAGGAAGCCGAGAAGAAGACGTCCTTTCGCTCGGCGGTAATTGAAGAGACTAGATGTGTCGTGTCGATCGGTGATCCGGCAATTAATAGGTAAGCATAATTTAATTCAATAAACATCGAATCGTTGCTATTTCTATCTTGGGTTACTGCATACCGTCTCTTTAATATACTATTTATATCATTGCTCGTTAATTGAATCGGTTTTTTGAGAAAATTAGATCGATTTCGTACTTTCGTCATTTTCGTTCTCTATGAGGTACCAATTAATTGATATACGTTCGAATATCAATTCGTACTATGGGAGTACGTCTTCTAGAGTAGTATTATCATTTCTTTTTTCGTTTTTCTAATTAATTTGTTGCTTAGATACAGTAAAAATATATATTTATCGTAACTTGGCTTTTAATTCGAATTCTTGAATGTTCCAGGATCTGACGCCACGAGTCTGCGTGATATTCCCTAACAGCCATCTTACGTTTAAACTTCATCTACTGTACGTTTGAAAAATTGTGCAGCTTATCGGGGAAAGCAGAATAATAGGTAATACTGTCTTTAATTAATGTCATTAGTAGATTACATTGATTATCAATTATAAATTTACAGTTCTTTATTCATTCTTTGAAAAATAATGATTTTAATCGTTTTGGTCATCTTGACCATAAAATAATAATATTTATGTATTAATTACAATTGCCATTCAAATAATGTAAATTCAAACTTTATTAGCTCATTATGAATATAGAATAAAATTGTACAAATTTGCAGAATTATACAATTTATATCCCTAGACACAAATTGTATAATTTTGCAAATTTACAATTTTATCTTACATTCATTCTGAATTGATAAATTTTATGAGTCGAAGCACATTTACTATGATACTACCGTAACTTTTGAAACATGTTATTAATTCATGTAACTTTTGTTGCAGATTTCATACATCATCGAAGAAAAGTACTCCGATGATCAGCGACAGCAGAGCCACTCCGATGATAAGCGACAGCAGAGCTACTCTGATGATAAGCGACAGCAGAGCTACTCCGATGATCAGTGACTGCAAAGCCACTACGATGTTCTGTATGAAGACAACGGTTGGTGAGTCGCATGCTTTTCTGTTCCTCCGGTCTCCAATCATGTCGTAAGACGAAAGGTCCAAATCGACACGGGTGACCGGTTGTATACGTGGTATTTGGCGAATTTGTCTTCTTGTACTTCGCGATAACGTGTTACCGTTCCATGGAATGATAAAGATTTCTTGATACAAATACTCGTTGTTTGGAGTATTCATGTTGATATTTATAAAATAAATTTACGTAAGATATCTATAGCTGAGAAGATATTATACGAATGTTAATATATTAACAATACATAATAGTAATGATGATAATTAAATATATTTTATTGAAAGATTCAATTTTTCCTATATATTTCAAGCTATAAGTTGAAAAATAATTTTGATGATTTGTTAAGTATGCATTCGTTGCGTTGAAATGTTTCATATATGTACAAGAAGAACACTTCGCGATGGATCGATTTCTGCGTCAAAGTAATATTATTTAAACACTTTTTTACATCCCTTAAAACATATGCTTTGACAATGGAATCACTTGAAAGTAAATCAATATTCATTTTAAATTTTCAAAGTAAATTATATCATTGAAAAGTCTTATTTACAATCTTTTATAATAAATAATTCAATTGTAATTAAAGTAATTTTTCTTGATAGTCAAATTTCTTAATATTAATGCATGCACAATTTTCCCTCTTAAATTTTTACAAATTATAAGTCGAGCCACTTGTACTGAAAATGAAACGAAACTAAGAACGAAATAATGCTAATCTGTTTCGATTTACTAATTATTCTTTTTAGTGAGGATTTTCAGGTTTAATCCTTCCGTGTTCGTTGCCTAAGCTCGTTCACGTGCCCAGGTGCTACTTGCGTGAGTGAGGGCAACGAGCACGATGACTTAGTCTGTAAAATTTATAATAATAATTTGTGTGAGCGACTGACACTGTACTAACGTACCGTGCACGACGTACTTTTTGCATGTGTGTGGTTAGGATGTGGAAATGCGTCGGCTATAAAATGAATTTTAATCCACAAACAAAGTGGTATTTTCTTGTTTCAAACTTTTATTATTATTATTTATTGTAATAGCAATATCGATCTTTCATTTATCAGGAATTCTCTCACGACTGTTTGCGTTGTTACGCAAACATATTCCTTTGCATATGCTATGATCGCAATAAATACTTCATAGTATGTATATGTACTGAAATATCTTTTCAATTTTATTTAATAGAATGAAAACAATAGACTGGTGATGAACCTGTATAAAATAATCAAGAATTGTATCATACTAAAGTATGATATATTAATATTTATATATGCATATTTTACATACGCAATGGTCGCTAGCCTTTGTCAGTCGATTTCAGGAACTGGTACGTACCTTTAGAGTGTGAATGTTGTGTATGGTATCCTCGGGTGTCGGAAGTGTCCCTAGTTTAGGTCGCGCCCGAGAGCCTTGATTGAGGATCGTTGAGCGTGTGTGTTGGTGTGATTGTTTTGCCATTTTTAAATATAGGGTTAGGTAGGTAGGTAACTTAACTTGTGGTGTGTATGTTAAATCCCAGTAGGTAGGGTCCAGGGCAGATCTCGTCACTTTAGTTTGGGTAGGTCGCGCGCGTACGTGATGGGTCTGCACCTGTAGGCGGATTTGAGGAGTCGTTACGATCACGATGCAAACGGATCTTCTGTGCGTTTGTTTCGGAATCTGTTCTCGATTCTTCAGGTCTCGACTCTTTGAGTCGTTGCTTCGCGGTTGCGGTCGTGATCAGTAGGCTCCTTCGAAACGCTCGTTCCCGCGAGGTTCTAGACGTGTAGTTCATCGGATTGAACGTCCACGTATTGCACTGAACCATGACCCTAGCTATAAGTTTCAGATGGGACAATGCATCCGAAGAAAGAAGAGAGTCCCTGACAAATTGACAGAAGAAAGGCTGCAACGAATGGGTCTCCATCTTTGGATTCGAAGATGGGGAGTCATTACTTTTACTATTTTATCACTGTAGTCGCCTATAGTTGTAATAGTAGTAGTAGTAGTAGTAGTAGTAGTAGTAGTAGTAGTAGTAGTAGTTTGTTTCTTGGGATCATGTACCCCAACGTGGGAACTCATTATCCAGTGTCAATTGGGCAAATCGCATATTGCTTTAGTATTACGAAATGAATGTATCGCGTTCGTTTATTAAGATTGTTTTGATTGATTTTTCGCGTTTTCTTCCAGGGTAGAGTTGCGTACGGAGACCAGCTGCGAGTGTCATTAGTGTTGCGTATAAATGAATCGCGACCGATTTGTTTTGTAAATTCACGCGTTTTGAATTAGTATTTCGTCGTATGAAAAGCCCAAAATTTGACACCACCAACACTTCAAGAATCACCAAGCAGCCAAAGTGGCTGCCACTATGATTCTTCGCACCCTGAGATGGCTGCACTGGATTTTTAATTAGGGATTCGTATTACTTGGTGCACGCGATTTGTTCTTTATATACGTAATAGATTAGCGTTTCGAATAATGATGGACCTCGCGATTGCTTTTGATTACTACTTTTTGCGTTTTCTTTCAGGGTAGTGTTGCGAATAACTATGAATCGCGTTTGCTATTAGTGTTGCGTCTGATAAATCGCGTCCGTTTTGGTATCTTGGTTTGGTAACTTGGTACTTTCAGTTAAGGCTAGAACGGAAAAAGAAGACCATCTACGGATTGTTTTGCTATATTTGAAGAATAGAGAACGTTTCTTCTGTTGCAGGTAACTGAACTAAATTGTGAATGGACTATTTGACAATAAAAGCACTGCTATAAAGTATATATTCTATGTTTCAGAAATCATCGTGGAGTTAATACAGGGTGGCCAGGGTGTGGTTTTTGTCTTGGCCAGCCAATTTGGATCTCCATATGCAGTAACCTCCACGTGGTGAGACCCGGACCGTCTACATTATTTGAAGTATGTAATTGCTAACTGCACATCGCCAGTAAGGGTCAGATGACATTATCAATTCCATACCAAGTAATATGAGCTACTGGCTGGAATCTTTCTCATTTACAAGTAAATGAAAATATGGTAACTTGCAATTAGAATCAACGCATATTGATACTATTATTATTATAAAAGTCTATAGTATTATATATAAGACATAATGAATAATTTTTATTCATATTTTTATTCAAGCTATATAAGTTAGGGAACGTGCACCCGCAGTTCAAAGGATTTTTGTCTTTTCAAAAAATATAATTTTTGAAATGACGGAAATCTTTCAAATTGTGTCTGCACTTTCTCTGATCGGTACATTACCAACATGTCGGTAAATACTGAGGAAGCGCCATCTACCGGTGGCAGCTTCAATTATTTTACTACAAACTTGGGCATTTTTCGGATAGAGGCGCTGATCAAACTTCGAAAATATAAATATAGCCCTCAGGGGCTGTAGCGAGTTCTTGTAAGCTACAGTACGGGCTTAACAACCCCGAGGTACCCGAGCTAGAGAGGGGGGCCAGCGGACCCCTAGAGAATATGTGGAACAAATGTATGAAGGATTGTCGATGCGATGTGTAAATGTACCTTGGGTCAAGAGACCTTGAAAAATGTAAAAGAAAAGTGTAAAACAGTTCCGTACGGAACTACACTATAAATAAATGATAAAGAAAGAATATAAATGCATATTACTGCAGCTAACTTGGAGTTATGAAAGATACTAGATTAAACAGAGAATTAAAAAGCGTATTTTTTTGTTGTTGCTTGTTGGACCAATTAGAATATATATATCACAGAAAATAAGATAAGTATAGGAAATAGGAACCAGATAGAATGTAAGGAAAATGAAAAGCAAGGACCAGAAGGTTTCTAAAGATAGAGAGAAATGAGATAAGGGCGTACTTTGTATATAGTAGTTTTTATTCGAAGAAACAAAATATGTTAAGTTCTAGGGATGTAACATAAGTGTAAGCAGCCTCATCCTGTACAATAGTATTTAACAAGATATATATTAGAGTAGTTTTATGAGAATAGTTGTAATACCTCGAAAATGCGCTAAATCGACAATAGGATCGATTAAATTAAAAAATGTATTGTTAAAAACACTAGTGTAAGACATTGAATGTAATCTAGGTTATAAGAATACGTAAACATATTTTTGGGTCAAGAGACCATATTTTATTGTACAAGAAAAGTGAAAAACAGTCCTGTACAGGACTACACTATAAATGAAGGATAAAGAAAGAAAGAATATAAATGCAAATTGGATACTGCAAAGGACATTCTTTATTTATATTAGATACTTCAGCTGAATAAATAAATTATTTTTATACGGATTAAGTGATCACTTTAAAAAATGCTTTGATTCGGTAGCTATGTGAACTTGGCACCCGACTTATCAAAAATTAATTCTTTTTTATAGAAAACGATAGCATTTCGTTTGTACCTGATTGTACCTCCAATAGTTTCGTTTGTACCTCGACCAATTAATAATTCAAAAAAATTCAAAAAATGGTCAGCACCCGACATCGAGATTTTTGAAATCGGTTTTTCCCGATTCTTTAGAATTGTTTGAACCCGTTTGTACTGCTTTTCGTTTCGTTTGTACCTCAATAGTTTAACTTATACAGCAATTGTTGTTCCGCGTAAGAGTGAAGTTCGTTAATTTTCAACTATTGAGGTACAAACGAAAAGAAATGCGATTCCGGCGGGTACAAACGATTCTAAAGAATCGGGAAAAACCGATTTCAAAAATCTCGATGTCGGGTGCTGACCATTTTTTGAATTTTTTTGAATTATTAATTGGTCGAGGTACAAACGAAACTATTGGAGGTACAATCAGGTACAAACGAAATGCTATCGTTTTCTATAAAAAAGAATTAATTTTTGATAAGTCGGGTGCCAAGTTCACATAGCTTGATTCGGTACTAGAAACTATAATAAGAAAACGTTTATAGTGAGCGTTCAATTATAGTAAACGTTTTAAAGACAGGTATATGGTGTCGCGGACTTATTTGTAGAACGTTCCATGCTCAATAATTTTTCCATACATTTTTTGAATTTTTTGAACATTGTTTAGAGATATCTTTAACAGTTTAGGCATTGTAAGCCAAGGAAATCCCCGCATGTCCGTTTTTTCGTCCCTCGATTCGCTGAAATTGGTACTACTCGGCTTCCTTTTATTATAGATTAATGTTTCATACACATAATTTTCCTCGAGAAATATTCTATAAAATAGCGAAAACCGCATAAAAATCGGTCGAGTGATCCCAGAGATTAGCCCGAACAAACAGACAAACGTCTACCAGGGACTTTATTTTATACTATGTAGAGATGAACTAGTATTTACAAAAATGTGTAATTATGTTTATATGGGATACAATTCGATTAGTCAATATTCATATTTGTGTTACATTCTAACAAGTGAATACATATACATAGTACATAAACAAGTGATTTTATTTATTCGAATGTCATGAGCCGGCTGTGAGTTAGCGGGATCAGGTTTCTAAGGCGTTTCTTTAAGGGGAACGTAAAAGAAAAAAAAACACCTTACGAAACTCGTCTCGTGAGAATTTAGGGTACGTCCTTGTTGTGTTCGTTCTTTATTCGCAAAATAATCGTTTGAGCAGCCCGCCTACCATACTTCAGTCGGCCATCACGTGCTTTCGCGTAAAGGAGTCCTGTAATCACGTTCGCGAATATCGTATTGTCGTAATTAGCAAATTTATCGATTTTTCGTATCGAGATTTACATTCGTTCATAATTATACGTGGTAGTGTGCAGCAAGAATATGTCGTTTTATAAGTAATATCTGAAAAAAATAGTCATTTATGTGACAGAAGGGCACGAGGAGATAAATTTTCAAATGGTCCGGTGTTTTTCTAGTTTGTTTACATCGTATCGACAGTACTCGTTATAACTTACCCTTAGGGGCGCTGTAAGCGCTCGAACCTCTAATGCCGTCATCCAAGTTGAAATTAGAATCGAGTGATTCGAAAGCTAAAACGTTTTGAAAGTTTTTGTGTAATTTGTATTGTTTCCTTGTTTATTTATCGTTGTTTAGGATCAGAGTTCGATTGAAATACATCGGAGTTTGTACATTTGGATTCCCATCTTGGCGTGCTTGTAATTAAAACCATGCCAGGGAATACGACAAAAATTCAGGTGTGCATTTACAGTTTTTTATATGCGTTAGAAAGCGTATACATCCTTGATAATTTTTGTCGTGAAAAACTACCGAGTTCTCGATTGTTTTCAACTCAACTCAATACTTTCAATTCAACAATCAAAATATATAGGAATGATTTATTAAAATTGGACATCCTATATATGATTCAAAGTTGATGAAAAAATGAAATTATGTTTACACATTTCAATTGACACATTTTAAACATATTCTGGATTTTTATATTTTTTGTAACTTTTGCGTCGTGATATTCACTTCTTGTGTTTACTTATTTTTACGACAATAGTATTATATTTTTAAGTAACATCTTACGTTCTTTTTGCAGTGAAATTGGACAAATGGATTTTATCAGTATTTCATGCCCTTGGTCGATGACGTGATAACCTTTTTCATCGACGATCGTAAAGACAACGATTGAATAAAGTAAGTATTGAAACGCATTATTTTATTGTCATCGTGTATCAAACTGAACACATAATTATACGTGTACCATTAAATTAACCTCAGACAATAAGAGCTATTAATAACCATTGCGATACCCTTATACCTATATGCATAAGCATTGATACGTAATAATTAATGCATCTATTGTCATCCGCTGCCAGAAATCCACATTTGAATAATGGTTGTTAAAATAAGTTGTAAATTGAGATGTATTCTCAACAAATTGATCTGAACTGTTTTACAAACTTAGAATCGAATCAGGAACTTTTAAACATTCGAGTTCATCATCGATTCTTCGAGTAAGTACATACGAAAAAAGAAACAACAGCCATATTTTGTTGTAGTATCTTTTAAATACATCATTCTTTGATAAATGAAGGGAAAAGAAATTTCTTTAAGGTGAAAAGATCTTCAGGTGGAAAGTGTAAGAATTATTCGAAATATTATATTTATACGAATGAACCATGTGTTGACGACGTACATCATTCGAATGTTCAATCGTTTCTCGGTTCCGAGAATTGTTTTTCACTCGCGAAAAGAGCAGAAGCGAAGTGTCTGCTCTCGCGGCGATTAGCATACACGGGCACGCCACTTCGTGTACATGTGGGATAGCCGTAGCATAATGTTACATGTGTCCTCTGGTAACGAGACAAGCATCAGAAAATTGTCGACAGGTGGTACCAGCTTCGGTGCCAGTCGTTTGCATCTTACCTTCGCCGTTGCGTGATCTCAATTTACGTGACAACATTTGTGAGATATAAAATAATGCAATTAATTGAAACATCGTCATTACCGATGCCTTATTACATCGTTTCGGAAACTGCGCTCCGCGCTAGCGTTCCGTGCGAGGCGGGCAGGTGTTCCGCGAAATATCGTAATTATTAAAATAGTATTTAAAAATAATTAAAATTAATTAGTAATAATTAAAAAAGTACGTAAAATAAACTCTGTATATTTCTAGAGCACACAACTTTTATTTTTTATTAAAATCTTACATTGTTTTTATTTATTTATTTATTTATTATAGTCATAGTTTGTTTAGATTATCTCACTGTGTCTCATATCGTTCTTTATGGGTTATTAAAATGAGATTACTCGTAAAGTATCTTTGTATCGAGGCCTAAGAAAGAATAATCCACATTATTGGTCACCTAAAATCATAACCAATGAAAATATTGAATTTGATATTGGTTGAAGTTTGAGTCTAATTATGGATTTCATAATCATAAAATCTGAACCGAGGGTAGATTGAGGAATTTCTCAACAACAGGTTCGTTGCATCATGATCAAAGATTCCCCATAAATTGATCAGACGCATTCCACCTTGGATGGATTCACAACTCGATGCTCCAGTACTTCTCATTTCAGGCGCAGGGTCGAGTAGTATTATTGGCTTGTTCAATGTGCCTCGCGCTCCATCGCTTGTCATTGTTACACGTTGTTGGTATCGTTATTATTAAGTGTTATACAAGCACTGAAATCGGACCTCAGCAAACGATAAAAGCGCGGCACCATTCCACGCGTCGCGTTAGGGCGCGCTGGTACAACCGCCAAGTATTGAAAATTGAAAGTCATAACGCCGCATCGTGCAGAATGTAATGTACATAATGTTACCGCAAGGTTTGTACATGTTTCATGACGTATATGGGTTTTATTGTTCTGTCATGGGCCTTTGTACGCGCGTCATTCGACGATATGAATGATTGGTCTTAGTGGTCTTCCATTATAAACTCCAAGTCCGATGTAGACGTTTAAACTCGACGTGTGTGTATCAAGTTGCGTCGACAAACGCGCGATATCATATTTTATAACTTGATCGCGATACAATTATATTCCGACCATAATGCGATACGTTCAATTACTAGAGCGATTTAGCTTTGAATTACTACGACTAACGCGGTGATCTCGACCAGTGGCAACCGTGTGGAATCAAGATCAATTGGCAACTCGTCACTTTTATGAATCACGTCAAAAATGAATTTTATTTGCTTACGTCGGATCGTATCGCGTAGTTTATATTGTATTATTGTGAGAAATCTGGTAATGTTTAGTGTCATATTTATTTGGGTGATGTAGGTTTGAGTTATCATGACTAGACTGTGGATTTTATGCATTTATGGCATACAATAATTATAAGAAAAACATATAAAATATACGCAATACACGTGGAATATATCCTATTAATTAATGCAGTCTGCGTAAGAAATATTCATACCGATTGAAAATAAAATTAATAAGAAAAGAAATAAGAGGTTAACATTAAAAATAATAAACTTCAATTTACGCAAGTTCTATTCTAAAAATATGTAGGAATGTTGGTTAATTATTTCTTTTCCTAAAATTTATTATTAAACTAAATATATGAAGTTTTAGTTTGAATTGGTTTTAAAAGGTGCGCGTATCTTTTGATTATATTTAGCACATATTTGTCATCTTCGTTCCTAACGTAAATGCATGAAATTCGCAGTTTAACAATGGCTAACACGCCGATTCCATCGATGGTCCTTGTTTCCAAACTTCTCGCGCAGAAATCTTATCTCTCCGTTTACGGTAGGGCATCCGCCGCAATGTTTGGCAACTACTTGCTTAAAATCATGACAGCCACGTGTTTGTTTTCGCTTCTATGAACTCGTTGCCGAAACGAGTATAGACGTTTCGATGCTCTTGTTGACCACCGCGGACATCTCGAGTATCGGTTTACATGGCTGGACGGTGGTACACGCGCAGCGATGAAAAGTTGTCACAGTCGGTTAATCTACGTGGAAGGGGTTAGAGTTGGTAGACGAGCCGAGGGTGCGCGGGGTGAAGTAAAGACGGGGTAAAAAGGAAAAAGGCTGGCAAAGTAGCAAAGGGAAGCCGACACGGTGCACCGCGGCGATATCTGCCAAGAAACTGGTGGCCGTGATGTAGCGCTCCGCCGGGACTTGAGTTATGTTTCTCGAATTACCGTGGATATATGTCCGTGTACCGTGAGTGAAGCACGCGAATTATGCCGTTGTCGAGACTTCTCCGTGCGTTTGTACTCCCGCTAATTCCTTATTCGACGAACGCATATTTTGATTGCAATCGATCGCTTAGAACTTTAGAAGCGCACCGAAACGAGCAAAATTGTTTAAGACAAGATAAATGGATCGTAGTTTGCTAGTCGAATCGATAATGCATCATCTGTAACCGTTAATTACGCGAATAAAGAAGTAGGAAATTAATGGCTGTAGGGACGTTTATGCTCGGAATCCTGCACCTTCATTGATTTTGGAGTTGGAATGGTTGTGGAACATTTTCAGTAGATTCTGAACATTTGAAAGGGAATTCTTATGATGAGAATTCTTAGATTATGTGTTTCAATGAGAAAATGTAGATAATAGTTTCATTTTGAATAATATTGATAAGAAGTTCTTGTGTAGGAGGAACAGATACTTTCTGCATCCATGATAAGAAAATTTTAGATTACTTTTACATCAATTTATATATACAATATACTGTATCCATGCAATTTTTGGAAAATTCTCCTGGATTTCTCTATAAAATTATTTAAATTAATGAATCAATAAAAGTCCTGAGGTAACTATTTTTATAGAGTATCAATTATTAGAATTTCGAAACATCGATCCATAAGAATAGTCCCAACAAAATTTTCTTCCACAAACATAAGAACACATATTTTTTTAAAGGAAAACGTAAAAATTTTAAAAGTGTAAAAGCTATATTAGTTCCCTAATGCAAAACCTCAAACGGAAAGATTTCAAAACCACAAATTTAATTCAATTT